TGCCCAGTATGAACTTCCACAACTAAAATGCCGTATAACGATACAATGCCCCACAATATGCCAGATGGGAATAGCCCTACATTGCAATGCTTTCAATGCTTACTAACGTTAATCTGTCACAGTATGTTTCACAAAATGAATGTAGCAATTCTGAACAAAAAAATACAGATATGTACCAGTATACAAGAAAGACAGCGAGAATGGTTGTTGGTTTGATACAAGCAGCAAAGAAAGCTCAAAAATCCTCACAGGCACTCACCCGTGACGATTTTATGTCATTCATTCCCTGTTAACTCCTAAATCTTACAACGCCCTAAGACCACACATGTTCTGAAATTACCGAGTATTTTAAAGGCATTCAATGATGTAAACAAATCCAATCTCTAAAACAAACTAAATGGGTGAAGATGAAAACTCATATCTACTGCAAAACATTCTATAATATGATAAAATCAAAATAAATGGCAGTTTAACTGTGTCAAAAGAATTATGTTAGAACCAACAACACTGAAAAAGGAAACACACATCTTTAATGCATTCGCTCACAATGTAGTAGATGAGGTTGCATCACGAGGTAACCTGGAATAGGTTCTTGTTATAAGTGATAACTATTATGGAATTTAGAAAACTTAAACATCTATCAAGCTTTAATAGCATTAGCCATGGATCTTGATGCTGTGAAACAGTGAATGAGTTTGAATATGGCCTCACACTCCAGATCACATTAAAAGCTGAGCACACAATAGGTTCATCCATCACTGCAGTCAAAACCAAGAAAGCCTAATCTTGAAATAAAGCAAGGGCACTGTTCAAGGTAAAGACAATGCCAACTCAAAGTTACACAATCAAGGTAATATGACAGAATTGGACATACAACAACTTTAAAACATTAGATAAGAGTTAGGGTGAATTTCCTAAAAGGAATCTTTTAAATAAACCCCCACCCCTACCAGAACTAGAAGCCAGGGTAACTCAGTCAGTATAGTGACTGACTACGGACTAAATGACTGAGGTTCAATCCCTGACAAGGGCAGAGAATTTTTCTTCTAGTCTCTGCATCCAGACAGGCTCTGGGGCATACCCAGCCTACTGTCCAATGGGTACCTGGGTCCTTTCCCAGGGGCAAAGTGTCACCGGGGCACAATGCTTACCACTTACCAATATCTAATGCCAAGGTTAAGATTGAGTAGGAGCTATATCTTGCCCACCCCCAAATGCCCACATGGTGTTTAGTAGAAAAACTTTACTTTTTTTTTTTTTTTTAAACCCCTACCAGAACACCTTACTTACTAGCAGAGGTAAATTACATTATTGATACACAAACAGACCCCAGCCTTCTGAACAATGAGGCCAGTGAAGGGTTTCAAAGGGAAAGACCAAACATGTAGAGATACACTAAACCCAGAAACCTTCAAAACCTCAGCGATGACCTGCGACAATTGGACAGCAACTAATTTCGAGTTATGTCATCTGTATACTAGGATAGCAGCACATTTATTCCACTACATCTGCAAAAAAGCTGGCTTTCATGCGGTTTCCCACACCTGTAACGTACCAGCTGTGGAGAATAGTGCACTAGAAAAATGTATTCTCTGCCATATTTCATTAATAGAAACATTTTATAGTCTGTCAGTAGGTGCACTCCAGTCAAGAATGTAGATGGTCATGTTGGGTGATTCAGACATGCCAGTATTAAATTATGATTTTGAGCCTAACTTTTCAGAACTTTACTTTCTGGTTATTATCTTTAATTTCTCAGTATTATTAAGAGAAGGAAAAAACAAAACCTTTGTTTGTAAAATTATTTAAAATGCATAAAAATTACAACTTTTTTAAAATGTAATTTTTACATATTTCTGTTCCAACCAGCACACAACCACTGGTTTTGCCAAGGCTTATCCAAGTTTTCCAATTTATTTCCTTTTCCTTGCCTCTTTGTCAGGACTACTAGATACAAATATTACATAAACCCTGAGCCAGACAATATCAATATGTTTAAAAAAATTCAGAGTGGCCATCCTTAAAAATAACGTACTTTTCTATCATTTCATCCACTTTGTCAACTCCACCTTTTGACAATTATATGCTGTTATTAGTCCAGGCTTTCTTTTGTCAGTCTTTCGGGATGTAACACAAAATACTGATACAAACTTCTGTTTTTAGTATCTACAAACTGAGGAAGTATGTCACACTTGTTACCACACAGTGTACCAATTTCTTTACCCCTCTTCTCCAACAAGTCTCTTGCTAATCGTGTGTAAAAGAACCAATTATCCATAGTCACACTTCCATGTGAATTAGCTATTGTGCACACTAGACATGTCACATTACAGGTACTGTCTTATAAGCTTTCAGCTGCTTTCATAAATTTCAAGTAAAGATGTATACCATACCCTTATATCTGAAAGGGCATGTATTTAAAACCCATTCCTTTCTGGGGTTTTTAACATACATGTGAAATCTGCATTTTCTCTTACGCCAACCAGCTGTTCATCAGTTCATATTTATAACCCCAGTTCAATCAATCAATCTCTCAAACATATATTCAACAGGAGGCAAATTATCAAATGCACTTCTATGCTGTAGTCGCCCTTGGTGGACTAGTGGTTAGAGTGCTCGCCACTGGATCCAAAGTTTGCGGGTTCAAACCTGGCCGCAAAAGCATTGTCCTCAATTTGAGTATTGTTGTCTGATTACTGAAAATTGTCTCCTTCATCACTATCTGAATCAAATACTGCCTTTAGCAAGAGTAGGTAACAAATTTTTTATGTGTCAATGTAAATCGTAAGGTTTTTCTACCTAAAAAGGATAAAAGATAGTAAAAGACACTGCACTTGGCCAATGTGAAACAACTGCTGATGTCTGTCTAAATGCCAGGAAAAATTAAGTAAAAAACATAACCTGACCGCAGATTAAAGTGTAACGAGAAAAGTTGTTAAGTGACCAAGTCATCCCTGAAAGAATATTTTTTCACTCTTTCACTGAGTGTGACAGAGAGCAACGGTCATAGAAATATGTTGGTAAACCTTGGGTACGAAGGTACCATTTCTGCCAGCAATGTAAACAAACATCTAATTAAATTTGCCTCACATAAACTTGGCTCGGGTGACTATGGCACTCTGTGTAAATGTTGCTGGGGAAAAATAAAGTGATCACATACTCTGTATTACAAACGTATTTTCATAAACTGTACTGTAGAAAAAAATGATGTAGTTTTTATGTAACTTGTCACTGTGAAACAAACTACAATGTCTAATGTGGTCAGACTCCACTTAACATAAACTTACACAAAATTAAAAATGCTCTTGTTCAGTTGTCACAATATATTATTTAGGAGTCAAAATTTTGGCTTCATTCTTCAGCACTGAATCATATTTAGAGATGTCTGAACTTGCTTGCTCAAGATTCACTACAGTCAATAAGAAGCCTGCCTGTATGCATGAAGCATGTGCAACCTCACTTTACTTCTCTGAAATTTCTTCTTCTTTATTACGCTGTCTCCTTTACAGGAGGTTGGCGACATATTATGAACAGGATCTTTCCATCCTTTTCTCGGACTGGGACCTGTTCATATATGTTTTTTAGGCAGGCGATACAGAAGTGGTTTGCCATTGCCTTCTAATTGTTGGGATGCCACGGAGAAATCGGGGAACCCCCGGAGGAAAACTCCATGTTGCCGAGACCACGGCCTTGCCCAACACAAGTTATAAATTTGGGCACCACCAGGAATCGAACCTAGGACCCCAGGATTACCAGGGGCCAGCGTTCTAACCGCTAGACCACCGTGGCAGTTCTCTGAAATTTAAAATGTTACTGAAATGTAATTTGTGCTTATCAGATAATTTTTAACCCAAACACCAATGGTTTAAATACCCCTCTACATACACACACACACAGAAGTATAGTGAACTGCTCTACCTAAACATGATATGTAAATTCATAACATCCATGAGTCAGAGACTTATGAAGCCAGTTGTTCATAAATGTGTAGGTGGGAGCCATCTATGATTGGCTGAATAAAATACAAGCACCTATAAGAATGATTACAAATAGTAACCAGAGTTAATCAAAAAATTTAAAGGCCATATGAATGTCTGCAATCTGAATTCATCAAAAGTGTTTAATGAATTAACGGTCCATTAAATGAATTTGGTGACTAATGCTGGATAAAAGTTTCTGTATCAGACACACAAGATTAAACAGAATAAATGGTTACACTTCAAACAGGCTGCTTAAATAAAAGTGCAGCAACTCTTCCAAATAAATGTTTTTGTTCATTTCTCGTTCATGATTTCTGAAATGTATCAATGACATACATAATGTTTTTTATAATTAATTAATAATCTGTTTAGAATAATTAATATCCCTCCCTAAAGCCAACACCAGCGCCTCCATCGCGGGAAGGGGAGCAATAACAAGTAGAGGAGGAACGCTGAAACGATGGCAGATGGGGCTCTGGTAAAGCTGCGACAGGTCCAGCAAACCGACAGTGGACTGAACGGGAAATTGCTTTCAGCACATTACAAAACCTTGGGAGAAGGCTTTGTATGATGATCCACAAAAAGTGGACACATCACATGAGGAAGAATAATAATAATTAATATATTATATTCCTTATTTCCACAATTATACATAGTGATTCAAAGCTCTGATACAATACTTCACGGGGATATTGGGGAGGTCATTTGGAGCAGAAAATGTGAATAAAGTTTTGATCTCTTAAAATTCACCACTGTTTCCCAAGTTACGACATTTTTACAATAATATTGCTTTTGTTATTATGATTGTCAAATTTTATAACAGAAACAATCCTACTTAACACAACATGAAAATTGAATTCCTTTTTTGCAATGAAAGAAAGCAAGCAAATTCTGCCATTTGTAGCATTTTTCAACCATCACTACAGAGTACTCCCTCCTGAATACAACTATCCTTCAATTTACAAACTTCTGTCTTACAAATCAAAAAACAAACCACGTATATTAAAACTTCCTTCCCAATTTACAACACTATCTTTGCTACAACAAAGAACCAGTTTTTTATTCATTCTTTACGATTATTATACATACAGCAATTATAGAGTTAATACAATCATTTATTCTCCATTTATAAAAATTCTTACGTTTATACTGTAACTACAGCAACTGCTGTACAATGCAATGTTTGATTTATCAATTCAGAAGATTAAATAGTTAATACCTATCATAAATAAGCAATACTGTTCTTATTTTTATGACTGTATAATGTTATATCATACGTGGGAAAAGTATTGGGTGAATTTTCTGGGAGTTGGGAATAAGACAGAATTTTTTAAATTCAAATTAATGGGAATTTCATCTCTGGTTTATGTACGTTCATCTCACAGACAGTTTTCACTGAACAAACTATTTTAATTAATCAAGGAGTGGATATACATTCTGTTTGTGCAGTGGGGACTTGTCAACCTTGTTACTGGTACTGCTGTCTGAGTCTGGTAACTGCACTTCAACTGTCTGTACTTCAGCGAACTCTCAGCATGGAGCCCCTGCCAAACAATCACAATAACACAAAGCGACATCAACGTAAAAACGCTGTCACACGGAATGGTGGTAAATCTGAAAATTAGACGTTATTTATATTTTCTGCTCCAAATGATCTCCCCAGCCACCTGCTAAAGTACTGTTCTAGAGTTTTGAATCACCCAGTACTTATCATTAACAGATGCAACATTAACATTAAAGTAAAAATTGAAGTATAATGGAATAATTAAAGAATTCTTAATTCATAACTTAGTATCTATTGTGGGTACATCAACATTATTCTTTCCCACTCGTGACATAGGACATATATTTCTCACAACAAATTGTGACGAGTCACCTGTGACAGTACATGCAGGGAAGTTTCTTATTTTCCAAACTCTTTTTCCACAGACCTCTTGTAATGTAGTATATATATACAAAATAAGTAAACAAACAACTATTAACACTTTAAAAAGACACTACTGCCATATGCGTTTCAACCTCAAGAGGTCATCATCAGTGGCATCTGGGAAATTAATTCATTTAACCAAATGGTTCAAACTGGATTTAGAAATAAATAAGGTGTTTCACAAAAGTTATTTCAAATGACACTGCACTAGATGTTGTTATTCACAGAGTAGATTCTGGAGTTCACAGGTACGGACAACGCGACCACAGCTCACCGCAGACCATCTACGGCTATGGAACCATCGGATCAATAGCAAAGTGCATAGTTCTACTCTGTGAACAACAACATCTAGTGCAGTGTCATTTGAAATAACTTTTGTGAAACACCTTATTTATTTCTAAATCCAGTTTGAACCATTTGGTTAAATGAATTAATTTCCCAGATGCCACTGATGATGACCTCTTGAGGTTGAAACGCGTATGTCAATAGTGTCTCTTTTATAGTGTTAACAGTTGTTTGTTTACTTATTTTATATTCTAATACACTACACAGTATGCAAAGTTTTTTAGTATATAAATGATTATTTTTTCAGGAGATACGAAAAAACTACTTTTTTGTTTTCATTTGGTATAAGAACCATTAATAACATAGAAAAAAAATGGCACAAATATTTGTTGTTTTATCTAGTTCCACACTAGTAACAGCAGTACAATGATGAAATTGAATTACTTTAGATTTCCAATTAAAAATTCATATATATAAGAAAACACGTTTTGAACCACACACTTGTAAGAAATATTTTCATACAAATCTGTCTCATAAGCAGATACTGTTGTTAAACTCACATGAACTCTATACTTCTAAGCCATGTCTCCACTTGCTGATGAGCAATGTTTAAACCTCAGTATTAAACTTTGATTGTTCTGCTAAATCCTGAAGTTTCCTGTGGCACCTACATCATGTTCTAGCAACAGTTCATTGGTAAGCAAGTAAAGGTAAAATGCTTTAACACAGTGACCAATGCAATGCAGTTCTACAAAAAATTGCAACTGGTATTGGCATACCACCTTCAACTTCTACTAACTAACAATCTTTTATAGGAATTTATAATCATGTCCTTAATTCGATAATATGACGTTGTATAAGCAAATACATAATTCCCATTCAAGTTCCTCTTTCCTGCAATTTTGATTGTAACATATGCAGTTTATCTACTACAGTCACAACAGTGTCACCATCATTTTTACACAATTCATGCTAAATGATCTTGACAAATGTTAACCGACGTCTTATCTTAATTGAAAACGCCTAAGTACAGCAGCAGAGTCCAGACACTTATCTGCCCTGCCCAAACAAGGCCACATCTGTGTATTTTAACTTGGAATTGGAAAATTATACTTGCTGCAAAAGAAAATCTAACACGGTACATGTTTATTCAAATTCGCTCCACAGGGATGATCGAAAAATATATTCTCCACATATTCTAGGAAAGAAACGCCTATACACATGTAATTATAACGATATAATCAAGAGACCAAAACGAAAAAAGTAATTGCTACTATTTGAGATATGAAAAAATACATCAATTTAAATAAATAACTTATGTATTATAAATAAAGTTGAATGTCTTCCATGCTGAATGAACACATTATTCAAAAAAAGAAACATCAGTGTACCTGTTTTTTCCTGGAGCCCCAAAACTCCATCCTCACTGTCAGCCATCTTAGCACCAGTCACTAGCACAACTGCACTGTGGGTATAACCAAATGAATACTACATTGCGATGAGTACACACAACATTGGTACATTTTTACCACACTGTGAACTACGCGTGACGTGGAATGTGTATTGCACCTGTAGCAGAAAAGTGAGCAGAAGTAGTAGCCGTCAAGGTGTGAATGGTTTTGGAATAACTAGGGTGGTGTGATACAACGTGAATTGTTCCGAGTGTGCATCATAGTTTTGAAAAAATGAGTGATAGACAAGTTTTCATCGTCTCAGCTGTACGATCACCCACGGGTAATGAGCTGTTAATGTGGATAATGTATCATCTCCGATGTCAGCCTTACTGCGAACGTTGCTCATTTATATTTGTGTTTAATACAGGGAGCCTGGGTAGTTCAGTCAGTATAGTCACTTGCTACGGTTTGGGCGACTGGGGTTCGATCCCCGATGAGGGCAGAGGATTTTTCCTCTACCCTCAGAGTCCAGACTTGCTCTGGGGCCCACCCAGCCTCCTATCCGATGGGCACCGTGTCCTTTCGCGGGGGTAAATAGCGCCCTAGATGTGATGATAACTACTCACCCCCACCTACTACTGAGGTTAATAATTAGTAGGAGCTATAATGGGACAGTTCTACTGTACTTTACTTTCACATACTAATACAAAAAAGGCTCAGTTGAAAATTTTTTCTGTTAAGTCAGATTTGAACACAATGCCTGCTGTATGTTTACATCAGTTTCAGACTTTAGTTCTTTGTTTTTATTTCACAGAGTGCATAGTATTCTCCTTTTATTGGCATATCCAGTGGATCAGGTTGATTAAAATATGAATAAACAACAAATAATGTTTGTTTTCTGTAAAATTAGTTGGTTCATGTCTTACTCAGAATGTTTTTAAACAAGAAGACACTTAAGTGAAGCCATCTCTGGCAATCAGCTATGTGAGAATGCAGTTGTGATCCAACATTTTGAAAACTGCCTCTACCTCAATTTTTAGGGTTGATGTGATGAATGGTATCTGTGGCTGAGCACCCAAATCACAATGTGGACTTTGTGCTGACTGACACTGTTCCTATTGGCCCACTTGTGGCCAAGAACACAGAGCTTCAAGAGCCAGCTATGGGTCTGAAAATGTGCATACAGTTATGACATTAATCATGTCATCCCAGATGATTCAGGCAGATATTGGAATGACTGATTGCCTGACACTGTTCCTATTCTGCTTGCAGACAAAGACACGAGGCCATCATTTTCTAAAGTTTATTACAAAAACTGTTTCAGGTGCATACAAGGGAGCATTGTCATCCCTCAGAGCGCATGAAATAGGAAGTATCGTCATCAAAGAGGCTCTCATTAGAGCTAAAGTACAACCTGAGGAGGTGTCAGAGGTCATCATGGGACAGGTACAATTGATTTCAACATTGTTACTGTTTCCCCATATGAGATAAAAAAACAAGCTCTGTATGAGTACTATATATCTTTGTATCCCTACAAATCATAAAACATTTGATTTGTGAACTCCACATGTTTCAACTATTAGGTCGTGACATTTCAAGAAATGAAGGTGTTTTGTTCATCTTCAGATGCATATGTTTGGAAGAAACTGCACATTCTAAACCTATTTTCCACACTTCACTGTAATTAACTGGTATACTGTATATAATTGTATCCCTTAAGAGAAGTGTTACATATGTTGTGTATTCCCACTAGCTAGATGAATACCTTGGGAAACTTAATCATGAAACTTCTCTTCATACATTTTGATCCTTCACCCTCAAATAAAATCACATCCACCTTGCTGCACAGCTGTTGATTTATTTCCCACAATCATTTTCTCTTATTGTAAGTCAGAGATGCAACCCATGCAAGAAACTGGCATTAGAGAAACTGTTGAAAGTGGTGGCCATTATGTTCCCCACATAAAGTGTACATAATAAATGATACTACAAAATTCTTTTTGTAATGTCTCTTGATATGGCATCTATGCATGCTATTTGTGGCTCTTCCTTTGGATGAGAGTGATTTATATCACTATATAGGGAGAGGTAGGGTTTGCACTTCTTGATGGCTATAATCCTTTTGAGATCAGTTTCCCATGAAACAGACTCCAAGTACTCCAACAGGTATGAGTCTTTTTTAAGGAGTTCATGTGGTAATATAAATTTTCCAATTTTACAACACTAATGATCACAGTTCATCACCTCAATAAAGAAAGTAATGTAGCACCTGACATTCAATTTTTGACAGTACAGAATTCAAGAGGGCTGTCTGTCAACATATTACAAAATTCTGAGAACTAATATAAGTGAAAGTGTGTCATGCCTTTATGTCCAGAACCATTCATCAGGTTTCTAAGCCTCCATAGCTGTATTTTGTAGTGCTTGAGGGGGTCTTGAGGCAGCAGTTCATGCGTCTCCTACAAGTTACAGGGATGCATGTGCAAAAAGATTGGAACAGGAAATTCATAACGTCAGGGTTTGGTTTAGGTCCATGAAAAGTGTATCAGTCTTCATTTTCAGTATTACTATTTTACAAAATGTATTTGTCTTCACTTGGGAAGATTAAATCCAGGATAATTTAATTTATTTTCTTTTGTTCCAGCTTTCACCTAATACTTTCCATCCATAATTTTCCTCCACAATGCACTCTTCAGAAGATTTCCAATTCTCTGTCTTAATTTTGGATCTTGGCAGTTTCTAATGCTCATTGACAACTTCTGCGCTACCTTTTCCAGTCTGTCCTTGAAAAGAGGAGAATTTTTGCTTACTGAAAATGTTTTGAGCTGCAGCAGAAAAATATTGCATCAGTAACACAGCACACACTCTCTAAGTAAGTTTCTAATGTGGGCTCATTCCCTCCCGTATTCACTTGGTGTAACCCTCACGTAGCTGTGTATTATTGCCATTTACAGGATTGTGATTTTTCTTACTTTTGTTGAATTTCTTGGGTATAATTCTTATGGAATGTGGTGGATCCAGTCCAAGGCTAATCTGTGGGTTGTTATATTTTAGCTGGCATTATATGTATCTTACCACTGATGGAAATTGTTCTAATTTGCAACTAGTTACTATTTTATTTCCTTTTGGTTACCAAATATTTTGTAATTCTTGTCCTTAAGATTTCTAGGCTGTAGTTTAATGTATAACTTCAGCTTTCACGGATGAACCACTGCCTATCCCCAACAACTGAAGTTATACATTAAATAGTTTGTGTTGAACATTATATTTTATGCACATTGGTCTGAGTAGATAAGTCAGTTTTGTTAACTTTTCTTTTTCTCTTTTATATACTGACTGGAAATTCTTTTGACAAACCTAAGTCTGCTCATGTATCCTCATTCATAATTTTTAATTCTTAAAGATGGTCAGCATGGGCGATCATGACATCACTTTGATTATAATGCCGTTTGAAAGTAGCAATCTTTATATTATGTATTATAAGTGAATTCGTTGAGATGTGCTAGTGGTATTTTCTGACAGTGCATCTCAGGTTGCGAATGGAATAGACTTCCAGATATGGAGGATGGCTGTGAATATATTGAATAAGCAATCCGATTATCTGCATCATGATCACTCGATTGATACAGTGTGGTATAGCAAACAATGCCAGCTGGAACTCCCAGTACTCCATTAGGCAAGCATACCAATGTCTGAGCAAATATCTGTACAATAAAAATTCTGAAAATTTAACATAGCTCTAATGAAGTCAGGCACGTGTAAAACAAATACCATCTGTAATAATGCCTTCTTTGAATAAAATTGGATCAAATAAATAGCATTATGTATTGACAATAATAAATAAATTATTACAGTAATGATCCTGAATTCATTAACTGGAAATATATGAAGAAGTTAAAGTTTTATCAGCATGAAATGTCATCCATAATATCTTTAAGATACAAAATTGGCAACCTTGAAAGTTTTAAAAAGTAATCCAATAGAATGGAGTGTCAGCTTGCTATACAGAAGAATACCAGACAGCAATGTTTTGAATAATACAGCACTGGATATTGGCCCTTGAGATTTCTCTTGTGGTCTGATGTAGAATCTCAGGTTCATTAACTGAAAATAAGTTTATTTTGCACTTACGCCTGTGTTCACTTTTTAAGGAGTCTATAGATCCTTCACAAATTTAGTCAGTGTGTTTAAACTAAAGTAATTAAATTGAAATAATTGGGGAAATTTTGTGTGCATACATGTAACTCATTTTAAGCTCATACTCAGAAATGGATATCTGACCAAAAGAAAATATAATTATAACTATAACAAAAATCAAACATGGGCTACCAATTGGGCATTAAAATACCATATTCTTGTTGCAGGCAGTAACGGCAGGACAGGGACAGAATCCTGCTCGACAGGCTTCAGTTGGTGCTGGCATTCCCGTCAATGTTCCAGCTTATCTCGTCAATATGCTATGTGGAAGTGGAATTAAGTATGTTTACATACATGTAATTCTTAAATAATCTAAAACTGAAAGCCGAATTAAAATTCTGCTAATACATTGAGAGAGAGATGAAGAGATAAAGGTATATTCCTATAGAGGTGAGTGGTTATCTAGCCTCTGAGAGCACTGATGCCTCTGGCTAATAAACTGAACAGCAAAATCCCATAGAAATATGTTCTGTTGAATGTATAGTTCCCTTGTATAAAGTAAGCTTTCGCAGCGACTGAAGTTGATGAAAGACTCTCAGGTTACAAGCTGCATCAGGTGGCTGAATGGTGAATAAACCATATCTTCTGCCAACGTTTTGAGAGCAGGGATTGCTCTCGAAACGGCAGATGATGTGGTTTATTCACCATTCAGCCACCTGACGCGGCTTGTAACCCGAGATTCTTTCATCATCAAATATAGTTCCATTCCTTGCCACATAACCATTCACCTCAGTTGAGAACGTGACAATGCATTTACTTAAAATCTGGAAATCTCTCTCTGAAAAATGGACAAGAAAAATGACATACAGTACAACACAATAATCAAATCTATCCAATGACTCTTACAGGACTGTTTATCTGGGCACTCAGTCAATTATGAATCTTGACTCTGACATAGTTGTGTGTGGTGGACAGGAAGTGATGAGCCAAGGTCATCACACCATCTTTATGAGACAAGGAACAAATGGACATCAACAGCTGACTGACTCTGTGGTGCATGATGTGCTTACAGATGCCTTTGTTGGTGTTCTAATGGGAAATACTGGTAATGTTTGCATGCATATGAAGCAGGCCTCTGTTAATGCTATATTTAGACAGCTTTTTATGAGTTCAGGTGCTCAGCAAATTATTAAAATTTATTTTTATTTCAGAAAGAGATATGAACATACCATACCACATTTACAGATGTATAACGTGCCCTTATTTTTGACAAAATAAAAAGCCACTTCCACCCCCCTTTAAATATGTTTTCATGTATTATAAGCACCCTAATTTTCATAACAAATAATTCTGAAAAAAGAACTGTGTTATACACAAGTAAATATGGTAATATGTTGGTTAATGGTTGCTTTATAAAATATAACAATGTTATATTACCCAAACCTTCTTTATAATAACCTATCAGTTAGAGAGTGAATCAGTGAATTGGCAGTTTGAGATGATTTAATGATGCATGTCTTGTAACAGAATGTTTAGTGCAATTGTAATAGTTCTGTGTACAAAATTGTCAATATCCTTATACACACAATACTAAAAAATTACTAATAGCTAATAAATACATCTCATACCTTACATCGCCAAATTTTCACAAACTGGTACTTTTACATTCCATAAGTATCTGTGCTCCAGGATGGTATATATGTAAATTATATAGAAATGTTTAAATTACATTGATAATTTTGATATATGCTAATTTTAATTTTAGCTGAGAATGTTGCGAAGAAATATGAAATTTCGAGGAAAGATCAAGATAAATTTGCTGCAGAATGTCAGCAGAGAGTAGAGCATGCACAAAAGGCTGGCTATTTTGTAAAGGAAATTGTTCCCATTACTGTAAATAGTAAGAAAGGTTCAATTGTGGTCGACACAGATGAGCCTCCTAGACATGGCACTACGGTAGAAGCCCTCCAGCGGTTGAAGCCAGCTTTTCAGAAGGTTAATATAAGTTACTCTGAAATGTCTGTAATGTACTTGTTAGACATATGCAAGTCGTGGTTTTAGTTCCTGCAGAATACCATTTATTTTTAATCGTCAGCTTTGTTTGTTTGTTGTTGTCCCCTCTCCCCCCAAACTGTTGGCTACTTTTGTGTGTTAATCACCAGTTTGCAAGTATCATATTAGCTTCTGATGTGTTTTGATTTTCAAGTTAGTAGCTGTGGTTGTTGGTGGTGATATTATCATCACCATAAGCCCCTTTTTTCCTGTTAGCAGTCTGCTACATTTATTGCAGTTGTTTTATTCATATATGTATGTTTGATAAGTCATGATGGCAGTGGGAACGAAAAAAAACAATCTCCTTAGAAGAAAAACTCTTCATAATGCCACATGCATTTTCTTGGTGAAACAGCTTGGAATATGAGTATCAACTACGAATACATAGTCAAAAGACCACCAACATTTCGAGAACCATCCTTGCCCTTGTCCTCGTCTTCAGGGTACTGAATTTTGTATTTCTTGCTCTGATGAAATAGGCAATTGTCACAAAAAATAAATTAGTTATGAATAGTGCAATAAGAAAGGTCTAAAAGGCATTGAAGTCCACAAGGAGACAGAACTGTATACTTGACTTGCTGTGTTACTATAATGGGAGATGACACATAAATTAAAATTTACATATCTAAATATAGGTCCAAGGATATGTGGCGGCTGTAGTATGAACAAGCTGAAATGTTACAGGATGGCAGTGGTACAGTGACTGCTGGTAATTCTTCTACGTATGGTGATGCTGCAGCTGCCGTGGTCCTCATGGGTGGTGATGTAGTCAAAAGTCGAGGAGTTTCTCCAATTGCTAGAGTAGTTGCATTTTCACAAGTTGGTGTGGATCCTGCATACATGGGGATGGGACCTGTCGCAGCTGTAACTTCAGCAGTGAGTCTGCATTCACAAAATTTATTGTGTGACACCACATTTGTAGTTATCTTTATATTTAGCTTAGATAGCATTCTTAATGACTTGGTACTGTTTTTCAGCTGAAGAAAGCAGGCTGGAACAAGGAAGATGTTGATTTATTTGAATTCAATGAGGCATTTGCTGCCCAGTCTGTAGCAGTCGTACGAGAACTCGACATTAATCCAAATAAAGTGAATATCTGTGGAGGTGCAATTGCTTTGGGACATCCTATTGCAGCTTCAGGTATATCAGAATTGTTTCCCTTGAACAGAAGCACAGATTGCAATGCCTTTAGTTTTTAAGATAATTTATAACAAATTTATAGCAATGCACTGACATCAACAGTAACATTTATTTGTTGCTTAGCATTAAGCTATCATCAGTGCTTTTGACATATGACATTAGTAGATTCTTAACATTATTCATGTTACCATTTTGACATCTTCTGTTAATTGCTTGTTGGGGTAATTAATTTGAGTTGCATTTTCAGTACTCATTTACTTACATTCTGCTAATGCACTTATACAGTTTTAATTAAAAGTCACTATGTTATAAACATCCTTCTGACTTCTCATATAAGCCAAACACTAGGTCGCCATCTTTTTTGTAGATGAACTCATGAAAAGCCTCACATTGGTTGCTGTTTCTTTTTGTCATATGAACAAGGGTTTTTTTAGGTTTCAAGTCTCAGTATTGATGTACCAGTTTGTAGAACATCTAAAAGGGTTTGGGATTTATAATTTGGATGCTGGCTTTTGTTTTATGGTACAGTTCAAGTTGACTAAATGATACAGGTTACCTGTCTGTAGGCACACACGTGAATCTTATGTGGGGACAAGAGGTAGATGAATTATTAACCTCTATCTTACAAGCAACCCATAAATTGTAGTACTTCATCCTACTAGCAACCCATACGCTGGACTTTGGGCATTTCACTACTGATGTGTTTCAATCAGCTGAACACTGCCATTGTTAGTGTAGGAATACATGAAAATGCTGTATGGATTAGAGTCCTTGTAGATTTGGGGTGCCACATTGTCTTCTGCCAGTTTTGTCATCAGTGAACTGATGGACACCCTTGTCTGTAGTGTCATTTGTCCCAACTTGGACATCCGTTCGAATGCAAGTGGGGTCACTTCATTTTGTCATCATCCTGGACACATTTTTCATGTAGGGCATGGTCGTGTTCATTCAGAGCAAGATGTTTAGTGGGAGAGTAATATTTTGGACAGGTGTCATCCAAGAAATCTTGAAAACAATATATGAGGTAGAGTTCTCATTTACATGGGGTGCCACATTCTGTCTTTTGAAAAGTGTGTCACCAGCAAACTCGTGGACTGTCTGTGGGTTCTCACCAGTTCTCTTCGTATCATCCTAGTCGCATTTTGGTGTGGGATATTGGTCATGTTAACCTTGTTTGTCTGGCCTCAGACTACACTGTTTACACACCTCTTGAGGTAGATGGTAGATCTTTTCATGAGGTCAGCTTCCTTCAGGTCTGTTTTATTGGTCTTGAACTCTAAGTTGTTATACAACCAGAATGTTCTTGCCTCAACACATGTAGATGACATTATTTTTAGACTGGTTGCATAACAGTGTTTTCTCCATTCAACCACCTTACACGGCTGGTAGCACGAAAAGAATTCATTATACTTGGTTGCAGTGAAAGCTTCAGATCATATATTACAATTGTCTTTTTTAGGTACCCGCATCCTTGTGACTTTGCTTCATGCACTTGAAAGGACAGGAGGACAGCGGGGAGTGGCATCCCTCTGTGTAGGAGGCGGAATGGGAGTTGCCATGTGTGTGGAGCGGTGCTAACTATACTTTTATCATTTCTGATCAAGAAAATTGTGTATGAATTACAAAGCTTGCGAGGTATTTGGTATATCATGTTATCTAGTATTAAAAATTTTGGAAGTATTTTACCTGAAAAGTATTCCTCTTAAACAGTATATGTTATACTTTTATATTTCATTTGAAGTGCTGGGTACTTTGTAATTAACAGTTAAAATTGCACATCATTTTATTGTACAATATTAATAAAAACTGATGATCCATCTAATAAGGGATTGACCATTTGACCAAGAGCTGAGGCCGTACGAAACTGAATATTTGCTGGAAAAGACCAGAAATCATGCATTACATCAAAGTTTACAGATTGTACTGCTAATACAAAACAGTCTGAATTGATATGGAGGCTTGATGGAAATGTATCCTTCAGACTAGGACTGGCAATTATAATTTAAGAACTTAAGAGTATATAAATAAACACAAATTTTAAACTGTACACTGTCACATTAGCACAACTGAACTGAAGGCAGAATAAACTTTTTTCTATATATTATAAACGGCAGATGATATAAAATCTCTTGTGATCTGAGTGAAGGTTAAATATTCCTTGCACATTAACTCTTGTGTGTTGTGAACTAAAATCAAAACAAATTCTTTCACATCCTTCATAACATTCTCAGTGAGATGCTGCAGTTTGAAGTTCAAGCACTACATAACATTAGTGAAAGGTTATGTGAATTACATCGGTACCAATAATAATTTTCAAACCAGGATGCCAAATTTCATGCCAGTGGAAGCCACTCAACATTTGCCTTCCATCAGTAGTAATTACGTGGTTGCTGTGCAAAGGTAAGGTAGTGTTATGTACCTGTAACTATAGAGTACTGAAAAATGTAGTTTCTGTTTAATTTCTGTATAAAATATAAAATAGTAATGGTCTTCTCAAAGTATTCTGCCTTCTTTTTAGTTTTATGGTGGCAAATCTCAACCACTGTGTTAAAAATTGAACATAGTGATGTTTCAGAACTTCGAGATTATGTGTAACAGGTTTCTGGTTGTGAAAATCTCCACTAGCTGAATATTTGCACAGTGGCAGGTCATTAAGGGGTATAATTTTGTAAGTAATATACATTTCCCTGTTATATGAAAACTGACACCACAAGTTCTTCTCAGAATCACTTGACTGAAAGAGCATTGAACTTTGTCATTAGTATTCTGTAGTGTGTCTCATGTCGTGATACTTTGTCTGCAGCACATGCCAGGTGGTGGTATGAATCATATTTTACTTGTACTGCTATTGAATAAAAATGAGAAATACTGGACAGTATGACTGGTCTCCCTAAAGTAGCTGTCCATTTCATACATTACCAGTAACAGTTATAGCTAAAACTGTGTGCATTATGTATAATGATCTTTAAATAATGGAAGCAGAGTCAGAAACGTCTGATTGAAACTCCATATTTACACAGCTGATTGCTGAAGAAGACTGAATGAATTTGTAAGCAGTCACTTCAGTGATAGTTTCCTTAGTTACCACAGCACAAGTTCCCTACATCCAACAGTATTAATTTCATAATGCATTAAAGTACTTGAAGTTATCACCTTAGACATCAGTAAGAATAAAGTGCAATTGTGTTAAGAAACACTTCTACTGATAACAGTATGGGTAACAAATGTATTATATCAGCTTACAACTTACTGTTAAGGGACATTGTTGATGCTTGAGGTTATACTAATAATAAATAAAGATTAAAATATTTTCCATCTTTTTTTTAGTCATTAGTACATTATAAGGCACTTACAAAAGAAGAAGCTCTTGCATCTATAAAGGCATGGAAATGAGGGTTGTCTTATATATACAGGTTGAGTCAGAAGTATGTTTACAAACTTGTGTGCGTGTTCCAGGATCAAAAATAAGAAAAAATGTTCCTATGAACATGGGGTCGCAAATGTTTCATTTTCGAAATAATAGCCAAAAATAAGTTTCAATGTATGCCTTTATTGCCAAGTATAAGGACAGGGATGTTTTTTTACAACAGATGCTCAAAGGTTGTTCCTCCATTCTCCATACATGCCCGAGCACGACGTATCTAAGACTGACAAATTCGTTCGTATACACCAGGGTGTCCTCGAATCATCTGGCATGCATTCTGCACACGTTCCCACAGGTCGTCATCATTGTGTATGGGTGTTGCATAAACGACGGACTTCAAGTGACCCCACAGATAAAAGTCCAATGGAATCAGGTCCGGTGACCTCGGTGGCCATGCTACTGGGCCACCTCGCCCAATCCATCGCTGAGGGTACTGTTCATTGAGATGATATGACGCGATGGGAGAAGTGTGCTGGGGCTGTCGTGCATAAACCACATTTGTCTTCTTGTATTCAGTGGTACATCTTCAAGGAGACGTGGCAAGTGTCTTCTTAAGAATCACCGATATGAAGGTCCTCTTAGACGTGATGGAAGCATGTGTGGACCAATAAGCATGTTGCCAACAATTCCTGTGCAAACGTTTACTGAAAATCTTTGCTGGAAGCTGGATTCACTTTGATATAAAATCAATTCATTGAAACTTATTTTTGGCTATTATTTTGAAAATGAAACATTTGCAATCCCAACTTCATAGGAACATTTTTTCTTATTTTTGATCCTGGAACACGCACACAAAGTTTGTAAACATACTTCTGACTCACCCTGTGTGTGTGTAAAATAAGGTTCTTGCTATACTGGACCTTATCTGTAATGCAACATACATTCATCTGAGACAGGTAAGATGTAAAGGTGTGCCTCAGTTCACATCATGAAGGTTTATATGGCTACAGATGGCAAAATATCACACGTCTTGCACGAGGGAAATGTAAGCAGGGCAGAACAGAATGTCATGCTCCAACTACTTTACATGTGGGAAAATGGCCCTAGTACCCGCTGGACAAGAGGTTGGGTGGTCAGCAGAGATGGTCTGGACTTGTCAGGAAATGGATCCCAGGTGTTCACCCCCAGAGCCAGGTATTTTCTTAATGGCTCACCCTTTCATATATAAGGCCTCATCTTTCTTACGGTATATTTGTGGTGGAAATACCAAGTGCTACATAATTAGGGAAGCTGTGAAGCTTAATCTATAAACATATAACTGTCTAGACAAGAAGCATAATCCACAAATTTATAACTGTATCAGACATTTAGACAAAACTTAAAAATTTGGTTTTCTAAGAGTTGTTTAATTTAATTTCCTTTATTTATTCCTGTGTATTTGACACCACTATTCATTCATAATGAAAAACAAATCTTGATAAATTCAATTTCAGACCCAAAGCTTTTACTTTTTGTAGGATTTGAGGTTTTCACAGCTGTGAGTCTGAAGATGGCTCTTCTGGGTTGTGCTGTGTAGCCTGGCACAACAACCCAGAAGATGGATATCTTCAAGAACTTTTTTATTCCAATACATTAGTAACTTGTTTCACAGTGCTTTAATAAATATACAGGCATATGCAATAAGATATGTGACATTCTGCCATGTATTTTCAGTCAGAACAAGGATTTCTGTGTGACAGCTCCAGAGAGGCAGATGTGAAGGGACTTATTTGTATCTTCCAACATAATTAGTGGCATAATCTTAAATAAATATTTCATGGACCTACAAAAAAAATTTAAATATTATTGTGTAGCATAATGATAATGTTTATGAGCAAAAACCAATTGATTAGTAAAATTCTTTGTCCCATAGACTGATGCAAAGACAATAGTCACAAACAAATGTCCTGTATATCTGCAACTGAGTTTTCTCTAACTTAACCAGCCATACTTACTTTATAAAGTAATTGTTTTTTCATGGTTTATTTTTGGCATCTTGGCAGCCTTTGATTTGTTGCATTTCCTTCTCCTTTTTCAGCTGTTGAACTTCCTTCACAGTTTCCTTCTGCCTTTGTATAAGTTTCCTTGCCTTCCAAGATTTCTTTGGATCTAGCTCAACTCTGGCAGATCTAGGGCACATTTTCTTCAGTTGATTCTTAATAGTTGGCACAATTGAGAGCTATAAAAAATGAAAGTGTTGTAAACAGTACAACAGAAAACAAAAATATAAAATAGCAAACAAAACAGGATATATGAAACTGTCAAATCCAAGATGGTATCAAGCAATGTATCTTAGTTGGAAAGTATTGCCAATAACTAAAATTTAAATCTGTAGAGCAGAGTCCTTGAGAAGTTGATAGTCTTTTAGCTAGTCCAGAAATCTGCAATTTATGCAACTCAAAGGTTCATTGCTGTGATCAGAAGACTAAAACGTCACCAACACTTGTAGAAACACACTAGGCTGATGTGTGGTCACTCATCTGAATTAAGGTGAATGCTGCTGAACAAAACCTATCTAATACCTCCAGGTGTTGGCTATAATGACATTCCTGACTTCTGCCCACCTACGTAATGGTGTGGAAAATGAAGCACCCCATGTTAGTCCCTATGATAGGATGATCATTAGTGACAGTTGACAAAAACCTGAGTTTATCATGAATGCTTCAAAGTACCATCCTTGACCCAGATGAAGAGTTTCAGTCTGAGTGGAAAATCTGCATAGTTCAGAATCGGATACTAAACCCAGAAACCTCTGGTGCCTTATTCCAAAACCACCAGATCTCCACAACAGAACAAATAATAAGGTCCATTTTAAGACATTATCATACATTGTGTGAAGACTAAAACAATAAATCCCAAGCAATATGTGACTTTAATAGGGCTAAACTGTGTTCCTTCAAAGAAAAAAGTACCAAACTAAATGGCATGTCATTATATCAGAAGCACTTTGCTGCACAGTTACTGTCCAATCTAGATCACCATTGAATTTCTCTATCATCAGCATGTACTTATTCTCAATACTGGGAAATAAGAATATACAGCTTCAAAACAACTGTCTCCATTGCCTAATCATTTGTGGAGCAGCAGACTCTTAACTTACATACCTAAACTGTGCCAGTATCAACTATTCATTCCTACGAATTAGTCATAAATTAAATTATACAGTGCATTTAATGTCACTATGCATTTGTGGTTATGTAGTAATGTATGAACTGGCAGGGGGATGATGCAGCACTGGCAGATTGCAGTTAACTGCACAGTGACTTCTCAAATGCTCTGTACATTCTTCATTTACAATTGTAAATTGTTGCAGTCTTTGCATAAAGTGCATGAAATTAAATGATATTTGAACTCCAACGAAAAATTGTATAGGTTGGGGGAGGAGGGTAACAAAAACAACTCATTATAATATCCTATGTAATACCTGTAACATGACTGGCTCTCTGAATGAACATGGAAGGCTAATTAAGATGTGCAAAATAGTAAAAGGACACACACACACACAGGACGTCCCACAACAGAATGTCCATAGGTTAACTATATGCTCTTGGGATCATTTTAATTCGAAAAGTTCAAATACACGTGGGTCCGATCTGCAACGGTTTGTCAAGAAAATGAGAAAGAATTTTATTGCATTTGTAACTTTTACATTATTTCCATTTAATTTTAGGTTACATTATTGTTATTAATAGTAAGTTTAGATAGCACTCTAAATTGTACTTTCAATTACTCACGTTATTTACGTGACTCGAAATGGCCACCCTTATTGATGCAAAGTTGAGTCCTTCATGTAACTGAAGTAACAGTTCTCTTCATAGAGTCATGATCATTTTTTATGTTAGCACCAGAGTCCATTACTCGATTCGCCGACTCAGTCCTACTGTTTGGCTTGAAGGCATACACCAGGGATTTCACGTTACCCAAGAGAAAAGACGAAAGATCTCATGATGTCCCTGGCCAAGTAATTGCACCACCTCGGGCAATCCAACGGTCTCTGAACTGTTGATCCAGAAATGCAGTCAGTCACGTGCCTGCCAAAATGAGGATGTGCGCCATCTTGTCCGGTTAGCAAAGGAACATCTTCCGACGTCAACGGCAGCTCTTCCTATAAGAAATGCAAGTAGCACTGAGATGTCAAGCGGTCTTCAATCATCGCCTGCCCCGTGCCTTACCTACGTGCGCTGCTTAGTGAACTAATATATAAAACACAGCCAATGCATACTGTATGCAGAGCATTTACCTGACAAACCGTTGCAGATCGGACCCACGTTTATTTGAACTTTTCGACTCAAAAATTATCCAAAGAGCACGTAGTTAAACTATGGACCTTCTGTATGTGTGTGTGTGTATATATATATAAACACACACACTCCAAACTGAAGTAATTTAAAACTATTCAGAGAGAATGAAGTTTGGGGTTGGAGAAACAATCTATACCATTCTTCAGATTTAATAGAAAAAGTCCCAATTGACTGGTTCTAGAGGTTTGTGCCAATGGTCTAGTGTCACAGTGGGAATTTTCTTTCCACTATGTCCATTGTTTTTATGTTCAAAATTAATAGATCGAAGGAAGCAAACAAGACTTCAATGGCTGCAGAACCCAAACAAAACGAATACGGATTATCTATGTAATGTAAGACATGCAGGTAGTAGAACCTTTAGAAATAAAAAAGGGAGTATCTGAAAGGCAAAAAAAATGTTTAAGGATATGAACCTCAGGCTAATTTGGTAAGGATGATAATGGCAATTTACTGACAGATCCAATCAACATCTTGAATAGGTGGAAACATTTCTTTGTGTTCCAACATTACATGGACTGGAAATGCTGAGAAAGGAAAGTGGAAATTGAATAACACAAAATGACTCACAAGGGAAGGATTTATATTTACAACAAATGTATGCACATGTTCATTGTCTCATTTCTATTTATATTTACATTCAGTGCTAAAAACACAGGCCTTCATGAAGCTCTTGTAGCTTAAGTTATGAAGGGCAATGTTATTGTAACATTACAAACACATAAGTCATATACTTTTCACATCCAATTACATCTAACTTTGTAATAAGTCATGTGAGTATAGAATAGGTCTCCAATGTTCAGATGTTCAGAGGCTGTCTTGCCCCTATCTTCCTAGACTGACGTGATGAGTAACAAAGCATGTCTCAGACCGTGGTGTCTCCGAGATGGACCGATATGGAATTGTGGGCAGAGGCAGTCACTGACTCATCACGATGTCACTTAACCTCAACTATCTAGGATGTTTGCTACATTAAACCCTTCATTCCATAGATGACAGTTGTTTCTGTGGCTCACATTCATTGAAATATGTTGGTAGCCAGAATCCAGAATTGTCTTTAGCGTAATCACATATTTCTGTTGAAGCTGACCTCAGTGGCCTCTTGCATTAAGTATTTCTGAACATTCTTCAATCAAAATTCCCAATGGTCTCAGAGCAAGATTTCACATACTATTTTCAATGGGGACATAATTTTTACCTCAAATTATGTATAACTGTACAAAAAACAACAAGAAATTTCCTACATCATATTTGGGATTCCTGCTTCAGTGAAGATGTCAGTGTTAATGTTGGTCTTCTGGGTAGTAATGTTACACAGACTTGTGAACAGATACCATTTCAATGGAACATACTGCCTCTGTCATTAAGGGTTGAGGGTTCCTTATTGTGAATACTTTACCATTTAAATGAGAAACGGGTAATTATTTAAAATATAAGTCAACACTTCTAGCTACATATAGAAACTGGATTCAATTCATAAGCAAGGTGCAAGTGTATATTATACTATGGGACATTGAATCTCTATTCATTTCTAGACATTTAAGAATACTGCATACCAAATACAATCACGTCCATAACAAAACTCTTAGAATTCTTACAGCCTCCATCACTGCCTGGTGATGAAGGAAGTAAGCACCTATTAAACAGGGTAAACTTCTATCAGACCACATGGAGCAACATGAGAGAAGATAGTCATCCTCAAACTAGCCAGCATGAAAACCTAATCTCTCAATCCAGAATGGCTTCATGAAATTTGGTATGCTACTGGTGGTTACTTCAAACATGTACTTTTTAATTCCCCACACTCAGTAGAGCCAATATGCATGATCCTCAGTGACAACCAATGTCATCAACAATGATGTTACCAGTGATCATACAAACTATTCATGCTGCCACCTACCCATAAACTAATGAAACTATTTGTGCTGCAAACTATCAGTGGCTTGTCTACCTAAATTAATTTATTACAATATGCTTCTATGGTAGTTTCTGCAGAAAATCTATCCTATTCAAGGAAGTGAATTGTTGAGCACTCTAAAAAAAATTAAGTACAGGTAGGCCCCGATTTACGCCGGAGTTACGTTCCACCTCCTCAGGGTCGTTAGCTGAAGCGGTGCAAATCGAGGAAGAATTATAATGTAATGGTGGACGAGGAGAAAGCAACTGATGCCAACACTAGCGCCACCTAGGTACCCACTTCCTGTGCCGTGTTTACGCTTGTGTTTTCAAATTTTCTTATTATATTTTTTTTCATTATTTTAAAAGGGCGTTAAAGTGAAACAGCGTAAAATGAAGTGTCATAGAGCGAGGCCTACCTGTACTGTATTTCTATGGACATGTATGCATGGGTCTGTAAATGTATCATTTCCACAAATTAAAATGTGAGTATATAAAAAGAGTAAACAGAGCAAATGGTGGGTTCTTACCGTTATTGATTGTTATTCTTATGTATGTTTAAGGTGATAACATCAAACAGCATGTGGCATCAAAACACCTTTCAAACTTTTGTGTACTCTGAATTTTTAATCTTAATTTCTTTTCTGACTGAATATGGCTCATGAAACTTCCTGCACAATCAACTGCATATATATATTAATTTAAGGTGACTGCCAGAAACTTTTTGGGCAACCAGGATAATAACCTAAAAAGTCAGACTGATCATCCCCTTGGGAAAATGTATGAAACTCATGAGTTAAGGGTAGGTTGGCAAGCACATCTAAGTCTGGTACACAAATTTTAGAATGCTTCTTTATGACTTCCCCCCAGAAGCTGCTCCCATCACACTGTTTTTCTTTGGTTCCAAAATACGAACCCCAGCAATTTGAAACGATGACTGAGGCATCATTATGAAAATAACTGTCAACACCATTCATTCCTTCCGCACCCAATTCCTCTACCACTGCAACTGCATCACACTTTGTATATTCTGACGGGACATATATATCTTGGATGAGATTATCTCCCACATACAAACACTTTGGCTGCTGGAGTCCAGTCTTCTTGGCAAGGAATTGATACAGATCTTGCCAATTACCTTGACTGTAGATATTTCCTAAATCTAAGTCTTCACTACCAATAGGATCCATTTCTGTAATTCCATCCAGTTTTAAGAAAGGCCTTGCACCAGTGAAGAAACCGGGTTTCCGTGCATAACACACCACTATGTCAAACAGATTTCTCCAATTTGCACCAAGTGAATTTGTGGCACTAAAGGATGCAAAATCAACATGAGACCCTGTCAGGAGGAATACTAATTTTGAGTCCTTAACCTGTTGCAGCCAATTTATAACATTATTGCTGCACTTGTTTATATACCTTTCTGGTTTTTCTTTCAATGCTGAAAAGTATCCTCCCTCATTTGAATTGAAGTTTTCCCTTTTGAACATGTATATAAGTCCATCCAAAACATCTGGCCATACATTATAAAATTCCAATTTATTTCCATCCCTGGAATCCAGAGAATCAACTATTCTTCCAAATGCTAATGCTGCAGGCATATCAAAATAATCAGATGCTGTTCTGATTCTCTCTGACATAGGCCCATTCCATGCTACTAGCATGTCCTGGCAAAATGCTACTGATGCATTCCATTTTCTATCCGATCCATAAATATTTTGTATTTCAATATCAGACATAAAACGAGTACCATGACTACCTTTCTTTATGAAGCCATCACTTCCTAATTGCAGAATGTTTCCTTTATAGAAATCAAATACAAGGCCCTTCTGGAGGAAATCAGTGCTTCTTTCCAGTGGTTTCAACAAATATTCTGCATCATGGCCCTTCTGCGTCACTAAATAATTCGCTAAAACCTCGTACTCTAATTTCACCATTTGTGTCAGTTTATATCTGCATATTGTATTGTCAAGATCAAAGCCAATGCAATCGTAATCACTTAACTGAAAAATACGCTTTTCATTCCGAGCTTTTGCCATCCTAGTCTGCACACGTGAAGGACAAGAATGGCAATATGTATTCAAAGACGATAACACCTCTTGACATTTAATCCCACCAATGGAGGAGGAAATCCGATTGGTTTGTTCACCGACGACGATATCGTATGCGAAATTGCACAAACTAGTACGTAATAAACGTGCTTGAAGCTGGATATACATGTTTGATCTCATTAAATATGCGGACTTTCCAGGGTAAATACTTTCTTTACAGTACATTTCTTAAAGTTCAGTGCAAAGTTATTCATTTTGGTGAAAGAGTATTCCGTTCTTATTTGCGAATACAATCAGCTGTTTTCAAACTCAACGCCATCTCCCGACCAGACAGCAAACTAAACAAACGTCTTCAGTGAAATGAACATATGGTTACTCCAATCAACGCTAGTGAATAGTGAAGCAATGTAAGCTGTAGTATACTGCCAAAATTATGGCTAGACAGCGTAAAGGACCAGGGTGTACCTTACCAACCTGACTATTTTTGTAGTATAATACTATTTTCGTAAAGTTTCTCTTTCATAATATTTCATTCGCCGTCTATTATTTGAACTCATGGCGATAAAGAAGTCTCTTTTGATGGCGGCTAACAATGTAATGTGTCCATCCTACAGTTCTTTCAGAGCTTTGTTTTGATAATCACAATTTCCTTGCCTCTGTTACTATAAAACTTTAGATAAGAAAGGCATGTCAAGAATGTTTTTCTGTTGCATGTAACGGGCTACATGAGCGACACCAACGACAGTATATGGCTAATGCACGTCAGGCTTAATATCGAAAGCAGGAATCTACTAATATAATATCCTGTGTCCGTCATGCTTGTATTTAAATTACAATCGTTATGTAGTTCTTAGCATTATGGCCACACGCGGATGTTTATTAGTTTTTTGTGTAGAAAAAGACAGGAAAGGTATCAATAATGATGAGAAAGCAAAGGGCACGGCAAGTCACTGTAGTTGCCTATTTCAGCGTTCTATCCTTAGAAAGACAGGAAAAAGTGACGAAAACCTCAGCCAGGATACTACCTGGGTTCGAGTCCTAATGATGGTTTCTGAACCTCAAAAACTAAATATGAGAAGATCGGCGCCAAGACCACAGTTGTTCGTTTCAGTAAGATTACAGGATCAGAGACCACAACCCCCCAAAAAAAATCTGCCCTGGGTTCGAATCCCGGTGACGAAGGTTTTAGTAACTTAGAGATTAAGCAAAATAAAAAGGCGCCAAGACCCAGGTGATTTGTTTCTGATGGGATGTTTCAGAAAAACCAGCTAACTGTCCTGGGTTCGACTACCTGTTAAGATTGTTTCTTTAGCTCGGAAACCAAGGCAAAGGAACGGCGCCAAGACCAGAGTTGTTTATTTCGGCGGGGAGATGACAAGAACAAAAAAGATCCATGAAAATATGTCCTGGTTCAAGTCCTGATGAAGATTATTTCTCTAGCTCAGTAACTAAGCATGACAGAAGAACTGTTCTATGCACTTATAATCTGTAATCATTTGCCAAATTTCGTAGCAATAACACTGTTTGCACTCTGATAGATAGTTTAATAATTATTAGTTCGATTACCTACAGCCAGGATTACACTGCACCACAGGCAAGTGCCTGGTGACTTGGCTCACCTGGCATACCTTCTCTCTAATAGTGTAAATTTTACTTCATATTTCTGTAGGCCCAATGTGACATCACACACACCAGCAATTTATAAAATATTAGAAAACTGTCTATCAAAAATGACAGGAAAAATTTAATTAGTAATTAGAAAACACACCTTTTATGTGTTAATTTCATGCACATCATACAAAGACGGCATCATAACAATTTGTATTGACTGTTTTACATCTGCACAAAGGGATGTTACAAAACTGCAATGAAGTTATGATGGGCTGGACAACTTACATGGATGGTAGAGACAAGAGATGAATGCAGCATTGTGATGGAGAAACTTTGGCAATAACTTTGAACACTGAGGATATGGGAGGATAACAGAGAGATGGAATAGTTTGTAAAAATGAGAGATACACAACTAAGGATAAGGTAGTGGCAGCCTTGGTATTAGCATTGTTGAATTTCTGGGTACTCATAACATCAGTAAGGTTTAGTGTGTCATGAAAAACCATTTAAGTGAGTCAAAGTCATACTCATGTATTAATCATACCACATATTCACCTCATTTTATGAAAAAAACAATATAACTTACCTCATCAGGAATGTGTACATAACGGATGTTTCTGGCATGAATGAAGAATGAATCAAATGGATACTCTGCTCCCCTTGTGTCAATGAAAACTGCTTCTGACATCACAATGTTCATAAACCTATAATGCAATAAATTAATGTTGAATTAGCTACACAATAAGACCACTTGCACTTAAAACATGTCGTAGGAACTCCACAACTAATGATGATGATCTGCTAAAATGTCATGATTATGTCTGAAGTATGAACATAAATAATCCAGAGACTATTACATATCTTTTACAGTAGCTTTTTGTTTAAGTCCAGGAACTTCAAAGTTGAATTCTTCAGTCACATTAAATGTCAAAGGAGTAGGATGCATCTGCTAAATCTGATCCTATAATACCAATCTCACCCTCTCGCACATTCCCACATATTAGGCTCTAATAACAAAGTCATGTCAACATTTCCAGTTCAGGATAAGAAAAGAGCTTCATATGTATATGAAAATAGTGGCGATTAGTGTAGATTTGAGACAGAGCAGATAAAATACAGATCACCTTCTCCTGTAGTCAGCAGATACTACAGAAAGAAATGGAAGTAAGTACAAGAGTACAGTGCATCAGCTGTTTACAGATTCCAAAAACTCTTCTGAAGTAGTATATGATGTTCTAACTGTACTGAAAACACCCAAAAACTTAGTTTGATTTAATAAAATGTATCTGTATAAAAGCATTTGTGTATAAAAATTTATACAATGAACTTAAAATTCAGAATAATCTAAGATATACTGAATTCAATACCAAACTTCTTCTTATTTGCTTTAAAAATATACCTTTAGTAAAAATGCCTTTATGAATCATGTGATGGCTGTCTTCTGGGTTGTTGCTCTGTATAGTCTGGTAGAGGTTTAAGGTAAATTAAAGTAAAGATAAAAAAAGGTAAAGAAATTTAAGGTAAACATGGTGCTACAGCCCAAAAGACAGCCATCTTCAGACTCACCGCCATGAAAACCTCAAATCCTACGACATTTTACCTAATGGATAACAGCACTACTAGTACATGCTAATAATGTTAAAATTTATATGGTGAAGACATAAATACCACAAAAAGAACACAAATCCTCCTGAATGTTGGTTAGTTAAAAAATATATATTTGAAAAGCCAAGTAGCAGTACATGCTCAAAATTTCATCATAATGCAAGAATGTAAGAAATTTTTATGAAACATTTTAAATTTTAAATGTTTTGATACTTAGAAACAACACTAACAAAAATACTATAATTAACTTAAAGCTGCAGTGTTTCCTTGAATTGTTCATTGTTGTTCAGCTTGTCAAAACAACTTGCTGTTTTATGGAAACCATTAGTTATTCACCATGTTCACATAAGTCCACATTAGATATTATCCGAAGCCAGATTTATCCAGTCCACATCTTCACAAGTTGTTTCTCTATGAACCATTTTATCATTACCCTCCTATCTACATCTAGTTCTCCAAAAGTGATAATCTCTTGAGATGCACTGACCAAAATTTAAATTTTAAATCAGCGGTTCATCAGATTGATTCATGCAGAACTTACTTTGCAATAAATATCTACATATAAATACTTGCCATATAAGTATGCAGGCATATATAACAAATATAACCCATGTTCAATAAAACTATAAATTTTGAACTGGTGTGTGTTTGTAGTTTAAAAATTCTAAGATATGATATAGTCTTTTTCTAACTATAAAGTGTGAAAATGGTGCTAATATGCATTTTGTAATAAAAATCCATAGCACATCAGTTACAGAACAATGCTGTACACAACACCCATATCAAGTAACTGAAGTAAAAAACAAAATTTATAATGGTTTGTGAAATCTGAGATTCTGGTGGTAGTGAAGATGTCAATGTCAGTCTTCTGGGTTATAACAACATGTGGACATGTTAGGTAGGTTCCAACATTTCATGAAACATACTGTACCCATCTTCAGGTCAGTGATAGAATGATATGAGTTAAGTATACTGTTTTTAATTTTAAATGAAATCCAAACTGAATAACTATCCAGGAAGTTATGTAAGTTATAATGGTTCATGTTAAATCTTCTTCTTCCATAAACTCAATGTATCTGGGACTATTAGCATCTGACAAGATTCCCAATGCCATCAATTTGTGAAGAATATTGAAAGATGTTCTGAGACTAGAAACTGTTATTTAAACATCCAACCCAACTGCCTGTCTCTAAATTAATATTTTTGCCTACCCTTATAAATTTAAAATAAACATTAGACCATGTACACCCACAGCCATTTAACCAATTTTAATATAAATATACCAAACATTGGAATTTTCAAAACTCTTAAGAATGACGTTAAATGCCTGCTGTCACTTGTTTTATTTATTTATTTGTAGTTTACTTAACAACAATTTTTCAGCAGCTCACACTATGTAACATCAAGCTTATTATGTTAAAACCACATATAATAACCTAGAAATTTCGGCAGTAAGAAACTGTAAACTAGCCGCCTAAAGAATGGCACGGCCGTAAAAGGCGCTTGATTTCATTACGGATTCATAAACAATTTAAGAAATCCTTAAATAAATGTCCTAATTATAAAGAAACTCTAATCTAGAATAACAGCTCAGAATAGTCTTCGTAACAAATATATGCTACGTACCCATCAACTTGTTCAATTTTTCCAGTTACACAAGATTCATTCCTCAAGTCGACAGTTGTACACCTTCCTTCTAAACCTTGAACTAAACAAACAAGTCCATTAATCAAGAAGAATTTCTCCCTCCTTGACACAAGCGCCATTTTTTCACAGTATCGAAATACCGAAAGTCGATTGTTCAAATTCTCGACTTTCTAATCCTTGAACTACTGTTGGAATTTAAAACATCTCTGTCAACAAACTTTCATCCACACTTAGTACCAACATTCCAATATTGATTTGTATCTATAAACACGCGTCACAACACAGAAGAAAAATATCGTCCACACTGCAATGAAAACCTCCGATTTCTACAAACGTATAGCACTACTCTCTTCACAGTGATAGGCTTTTTTGAAATGTATAAATAATTGACGTACGGTAGCCCTGAACTCCAATTTCTTCTCTAGTATCTGAAGAATGTAAAAGATCTGATCCATTGTTGATCTGTTTCGTTTGAACAAGCACAGATGATCCCCAATACTTTCAATCGCATCTGGAGTTAATCTTGCCAAAAGATTATTTTATACAATTTTCTACGAGGTTGATAGCAGAGAAATTTCTCGGTAATTACAACACTCAGTATTGTCCCCCTTCTTATGAATAGGAATAAGTATGGATTCCTTTCATTGTCGTGGCATCTGTTTCTTACTCAAAATTAACTGAATAAGCTTATTAATCTTCATATGAAACCTTTTGTCAGCTGCTTTAATTAATTCTGCTGGAATCTGATCACTTTTATTATATTTATTTGTCTCTAAAATTTGAAACGTATACGAAATTTCACCTTGATATTGTTCCTTCGCCTCTCCCTCACTTATTTCTTTCAAATCAGATCTTTCTATGTCGAAATTTTGCTTAGTTCGTCTATTTACTGAAAGCCGCTCCTTCACATTTCCTACCACCAAATAATGATCAGCATCACAAACTGCTCTTACCAATGACCTCACATCGGTACATTTGTCATCCTACTATTATCTACTAAAACATGATCTAATCGATTCTGTGTTGTACCATGAGGAGAAAAAAGTTGTGCATTTTACAATTAAATCTGCTTCGTCCTCTATTGTCAAAGACAGGAACTATTGTGAACATAAGTGAAATGTCGCGCCATATATTGGCGATGAGATGAACTAATGTATAGATAAGTGAAGTTCCTCGCCATATATTAGCGAGGTATGAACTAATGTAGAGATACGTGAATTGCCGCGCCATCTGTTGGGACTGTATAAACTAATGGGCCCGCGAATATTTTCTGACCCGTTTACCTCCTTGGGTATCCTATTACCCGAGTAGAAACATCGAAAACGCAAAGCTAAGGTGACTTGCGTCGCCCTCTATTAGGAAAGAATTGCCGCGGCATCTGTTGGGACGGTACTAACTAATGTGCCCGCGAACATTTTCTGACCCCTTCTGACATGAACTTCTGTAAAGATAAGTGAAATAACTAACTAACTAACTGAATGGCTTGACGAACCCGAAGGTTCATCACCGAATTAACCAAAGCCCTCCACCGGACCCTGTCCTGTGCCAACAAAATCCAGTTTCCTTCAACTCCTATCTCCCATCTCCCATAGATCCCGCCTGACATTATCCTCCCATCTACGTCTAGGTCTCCCCAGCGGTCTCTTCCCCTCAGGCTTCCCGACCAATACCCGGTGCACACCTCTTGTCCCATCAATGCGTGCTACATGCCCCGTCCATCTCATTCTTCTCGACTTAATAATCACCCTGACAATACTGAGGGAGGAGTACAGATTTTTAAGCTCATCGTTATGCAGTTTTCTCCACGCCCCATCGTCTTCCCTCTTAGGCCCAAATATCCTCCTCAACACCCTGTTCTCAAACACCTGCAATCTGTGTTCCTCCCTCTGAGTGAGTGACCATGTTTCACACCCATACAAAACAACAGGCAAGATTATTGTTTTGTATACTTTAATTTTCAGGTTCTTAGAAATCAGACGGGAAAACAAAATATTTTTAACTGAGAAGTAGCAAGCATTTCCAGAATTTAATCTCTTCCTAACTTCCTCATGAGTGTCATTTTGATTTGTTATTGTTGTTCCCAAATATTTGAACTTTGTAACCCTTTCAAAGGACTTATTAGCCACCCTAAGATAGTTTTGCCCGCCTGTCTTCTGATGACGAGATACTAACATGTACTTAGTTTTTTCCGAATTTACTTCTAGCCCCACCTGTCTTCTAGCCTCAAGTAAAACTTCTGTGTTCCTCTTTATTGTATTCATATCGTCCCCAAATAAATTAGCATCATCAGCATATGCCAATAGCTGATGTGTCACATTCAATTGCAAACCCTCCTGCCTATCTTGGACTTTCCTGATAGCATATTCTAGCGCAAAGTTAAAGAGCAAGGGAGACAAAGCATCTCCTTGTTTCAGGCCGTTCTTGATGGAAAATGAGTCTGACAAATATTTACCTACAGGAATTTTGTTACAGGTTTAATTTAAGCACATTTTTATTAGACTCACTAGCTTCTTTGGTAAATCTAATTCAATAAGAATAGGCACATCTCGGTTTACTAACGTTCGATTTACGAAGATTCGCTATAACGAACGTCACAAATCATTCAAAGTTTCTTAAAGTCGCCAATAGATAGAGTTCCTTATAAAACGAAATGCCAAACGTATAGTGAACATAATTGTAAGATTTAAATAAATAAACTTTAAAAAATGTATTTATTACAATAATTATCAGAAAATTATTATATGATAATTATACTGAACTGTTCTTGGTTAATAAAACTAATCTAGCCAGTAGAAAAACGGTTTACATGCCACGCCGCGAGGCGTACGTTACGTATCATATACGATAAACCAAAACGCATGTATACATTATATTAAAACGTATTGTATAGACCATTCGATGTTTAGTACATGGTTTTAATGCTTTAAAATGGCTGCTAACGTATACTATACTTGTCGTAAAAGCTCAGGAATGCAAGATACACATAACGAACAAAAACGTATAACGAATAAAGTCTTGGAACGGAACTGGTTCGTAAACCGAGAGTTGCCTGCAATCTAAATTTCAGATTTATGTCAATTTAAAAACATGTTCGGTCTCTGTGGTTGCCAAAGTATTTTTCCACCATGCCATTGTCAATTAATTTTAAATTTAATCATAATTATTCAGCAGAAAATACGTATGACTGATGGTTATTTCTGCTTTTTTATTTCAAATTACATTTTAATTAATCGCATAGAACTGAATCCTTCATGAGATGCTAATCGTCGCTCAGACAATCAAGAAATCCCGAGCCTATTAAAAAACCGAAGATCCATTATCCTGTTTACAAGAGCTCCCATCGGTCTCTGAGCCAAATACATTCCGTCCTCACCTTCCCGCACGTTCAGACCCGTTTTAATGACACACGTCACATCATATTTACTCCTTAGCTCGTGGAGCAGAACATCCCGGAAAAGTAAATGCCAGCTTAGCTGCTCAAGGAATTTCGAATTTCCAGCCTTTTACGAAACCCTATGCTTCTACACGGTGTTTAGAGATCGCGTAAGTGATACATAAACCCAGACAACACCTTCTTATTCTAAGGCAGTTAGTTCGGCTTCAGTTTTGATACCACGCGAGCATATTTCTCTGCTGGTGGGAACTATTGCGGAGAGCTGCGTTAAACACTTTACTCAGAAAGTTTAACGATGTCTGAGGACGCTGTTCGGAACACCTTTCGGGCACGGAGCTTTGCCACACTTGAGTCCCCTGACGGCCAGAAGGACCTCCGAGGTACTATTCGAGTATCACATATTGAAGTTCAGGGAATTTTCATAGTTTCGGCTCATAAAATGCTTTCCTGCATTTGTTGGTAGTTTGTAGAAGAGCATCTTTTTAATTCCCCCAGTAGCACACAGTAAATTCAGACGATAAATCCACCATTGGCCGCTCGGTTGCCGTGTTTTTCTAGGTATTTTGTTACCTTTAATTTGAAACCTGCGGCACAACTTGAATATGTAACCTTATTCATCATAGAACATCACGAATTATCAGTTTCACACAAGTCGCTATGATTTTGCTCTCGGCGAAAATTAAAACTAGAACTGAATGCGAATAATACAACACAAAGATAAGCTGTCGGCGGATGACGTCACGTATAGATAAGATGTAGAGGTATACATTTTGCCCCTCAGAAAGGACTCTGGTGCCCATTGGACAGGAGGCTGAGAGCCCCAAAGTCGGTCAGGATGCAGAGGCTACAAAAGAAATTGCCTCTAACAGGGATCGAACCCCAATCACCCAGCCCGTAGCCTTCTCAAGGCCTACAGCGATGAGCGAATGAACATGATTAAATGGGTGTTTGTTTAAAATATTCCTGCAACAAGAATTAATTTTGAATAACCAGCTGTATGCCTGAATTCACCTTAATTCCACACGTTATGTTACCTTGAAATATACAAGCTATTCTGTTCCCACACGACACCAAGGAAAAATATATGTAAATATAATTTAGTTATATATTGTTAACACAACGGTAACGGATTTGTTAATTCCATTGTAGGTTCTTCACGATAAAAGTTTGAGTTATTTTGAGCATTATAATAATAAATTATTTCCTTAATGTTCTTTCTACAAGGACGTCACATTTCATTACCAAATTTTATACTGTTCTGAACAAAACAAGGATACTTACTTATTTGTAAGATCTTCTGGCAGTAATGATTTACTGAGATTTCCCCCATAATTTCTTCATTGGGTAATCAAGTTCTGTCTTAAATCAACACGTAAAATATTTTGGAATGGATTCACCACTTTATTTCGTCACGAAAATAATGGGTTATTTTTTTCTGAATGTGTTTCCTCACAATACTGGTAAAAATAATACTAAGCTGCCTTTGATAATGTGTCAACGACACCAAACAAATGACATCACGTTACTGCAGACAGTCTTTGGTCTTTTTAAAATTTGTTCAAACTTTTGGTCACGACGATGTTATACAAAATCTCAGGTTAGATTTGTAAATTAACGGCGGAATGCTTTCTTTTACAGTATATTAAATATTATTAGAATTTTGAAGGCAAAATCTGAAAATCTTGTAATTGCATATCAAATATATGTCCAAACATTGGACAGAACCAATAAGCCCTAAAATAATTTTGTTCCATGCTTCATTGCTTTGACATAACAAAGCTCCAAGAACAGCTAAGGAACTGTCACTGGTCCTCAAAACTGGAATTTTCCAATTAGAAGCTCTCCATTTAGCGTCATAACGAGACCCTGCTGCTTCTACGAGTCAGTTTCCATTCCACTGTTCTCGTAACATTGCGCTGCTCTGTTATCGGCCTCATCGTCTTCGACTGCCCAACTCTGCACCTCTCCAGAAGCGCAAAGACCATACACCACTGTCCCCACTAGATAGACGCCACTTGCTACGTAGAACACGACCTGCCACTCTGACGCGCTCTGTTGAGAAAATACACAAACCTCATTCACTTCGTAGTTTCTCGGCATTACGTCAATAAGCGGACCCGAGACAAGAGGCTCTCCAGTTCGCAGATTATGCGTGTGGTTAGAACACAAGAACAGAATACTTAGCCAATATCACATTGACATTTAAAAAAACACAACAAAATTATCATATATGGGATTGTATGATTTGAGGTTAAAACAGGGGTGAGTATGAAGATTTCTGTCTTCTGGGTTGTTGCGCCGCGTAGTCTGGTCGATGTTTACCGACGTTTCAGAGGTCATACTGCCTCCGTCATCAGGGCAACAATGATGGAGGGAGAATGGACCTCTGAAACATCGGTAAACTTCTACCAGACTACACGGTACAACAACCCAGAAGACGGCCACCGTCGTCAAGTGTTCTTTCATCAAAGTGAGAAACCAAGATTCAGACCACTACAAAACAAAAGACAAATTTAAAATTATTTTATATATTTTAGCCCACAGAAAAAGTATTATTATTGTATCTGACGTCCACTACATATTTGTTAAATTTCTTGTTTCTGATTTAAAATATCAGCAGTTTATACATCACCATAAAATGACTTGAAATAAATAAATAAATACAACACGTTGTTTAGCGACTTCCATATCCACTTCTCATTCAATTAGAATTTCTATTGTACCTACATTATTTTGCACGACGAAGCCTGTGACCAGTGGACTGATGATGCCAGGCAAAGTGGCAACAGTGTTTGAGAGTCCCATCAACACACCAGCGTGCTGCGGAGCTATGTCCAGATGGTTCACACTGAAATACCAACATACACTATGAGATCACTGTAAAATAAATATAATTGTCATCAACGCTAGTTATTATTAATACCGAGACTATCAGAACAACTATCACTAACATCAAATATGAAAATACTACCTGTATAATTAGTCCGTAGTTTTGAACTTATTCCATCGTCTGAAAATCTTCTATGAAAAACGACAACATTTCGATATTTCGTGGGATTTCATATTCATCTGGCGACGAGTACAAGTTTTACCGACTTCACAGTGCACCATCTCTTCAGGTGACCCGGCTCTAGTGAGTCAATTTGATGTATCTAGTTTTAACCTTTTTTCATATGGCAACGTCGCTTCCTTCTACTCTAATGATTTGTTCTTAGAGGTTATTTGTTGTTTTGCTCAATATTTACCAGGTAAATTCAGGGACCACGCTGCTCACGGCAAATTGAAATACATCATGAACATCTCCTTCCAGAAACCTTGTCGGTTACATCTGTTCCAATTAAACTTTCATAATTACCCTGTTCTTTAGTATGTGACGTGTTTGAAACAATGCATTTGTACATAACCCAATACGGGCTGCAGTCAACCAGTTTTGGTTTAGACTTCCTACTGATGAAAAGAAGTCATATCGTATGTGGCTATGTTATGCACAACAGAACGTTTCCACCCACAAACGCCAATTATGAATTTTCATCCTACTCCATTAACCTTAGGTGAAGCAACATTACACCACTCTGTATGTTCCTCCAAAACATCTGTTTACAGCCAATAACCCATGAGCCCACTACATTCTGTGAAAATGTCAAATTCCACTTGATGCGATAACTGCAATAAAAATGTAGCCCTCTGAAGGCGAATAATTGAACCACATCCTGTTCCGAGTTGCCATTTTATCCCGCAACGTCGCTCTCTGCGCGCCGAACAATCACTCACCCGCCATCTATGGCAAGTCTGAGAAACCTACAAGAAGCCAGCCAAGGCGAAACCGCCCAGTCCCACGGCGATGGAAATACAGGTTACCGCGCCAGCAGGAGTTAGCAGGAAGGCCGCTAGGAGCATGAAGATCGTCTGGCTGAGGTACGCGACACACGTGAACATCTTCCTCACCTGCGATACAGAAAGATCTCGTGAAGCCGCTGTAACAACACAGCCTAAAGAACATAACTTTTGACATTCAGAACACGCGGCCGAGTGGTCGGAAGGTCTCAAGTTCAAATCTAGGCCAGTAGAGACGCTGTTCTGACAGCATGGATCTCCTTCGTTCTTTTAAGGCTGTTATTGCTTCAATTGTAGTGTAGCCCAATGTGATCTTTTCGACGTTGGCAATGAATTCGCAGTGGTTTGACTCTTGCGAGGGCGGGATCCCCTCGCCAGTCTGGTTTGCCGATGACGTCATCACATGGCTTCCGCACGTGGTTGCGAGGGAGGGGTGTCCATCGTCACATCGGAACACAGAAATTTATGGTTTTGTTCTTATGAAACGCTCATTATTTTGTTAGATTCAGGCTGGTTGGCG